GTTCCATTTACATAGATTTCTAGGAAATGCAAGCTATGTGATGGAAGCAGGTCAGTATCTGGGCATGACATAACATACGCTGGAAAGGCAAGAAGTGATTACAAAGAAATGAGGAAACTGTTCTTTGTTTTAGGGGGACAGGGACTTAGTGTAACTCAGGCTGTAGCTGAAGACTGAAGATGCCTGTAAGTTCTGTGTTCAGTTCCCAGCACCCACATGGGGGTTCACAACCATTTGCAACTCCAGTTCCAGAGAACCCAATGCTCTCTTCTGGCTTTCTGTGGGCACCATATACTTGTGGTACACGTACATACATGCAGGCAAAACCACTGCACATTTTTTTAAGCACTAGTGTGTACTTTTCCCATGAGCCATGTCTCTTGAAGAGACAATAAAAGATGAACTTTGGTATGAAATTGAACAACCACAAAACTGGGTTAAGAAATAAGCTGAGGACTCATGTAGACTTTCTCCAAAGATACACAAATGTCCATTAAGCACACAAAGCCATTCATCACTAGTCATCAAGGACATGGAAACAAAACCACCATGAGATACTACTTCATACTCAAAGTGAGAAACCAGAACTGGGTGTGCTTTGAATCGGAATGTGGAAAACGGAGGGTCCTAAAATTTTAAAAAGCAAATTACCTGATTACACATCAGCTTCATTTCTGGTAACATACCCAAAGAAGAGAAAGTAAGGATGTGAAAAGATATTTGTATGCATTAATGGTACAGCATGCTTACAGTACCATTAATAATAATGATGTTGCTAAGTCAACAGGCTGAAGCAACCCTCATGTCCATGTATGGATAATCAGATAAACGTGATGTAACTCACAAATATAACAGAATATTAGCCTTAAAGTGGAAACAAGTTCCAACACAATATGTCCCGCGCCCGCTCTGTATTCCTCGCCAGCAAGAAATACACACAGGACACTCGGATCCTTCTGCAGACAAGCTTTAATGCATTTTACCAGAGTGGAGACTGAACAGAGACTGAGCAGAGACTGAGCAGAGACATTGAACCAAGAAAACCATTCCTATATAAAGGCTGACCAGCCGCCTGGGACGTGTTACCCTAATGAATGGCTTCAGCTCCTCAGGCAAAAATGAGCCACGGGATAGGCAGAGATCAAAGGAATGGAGATTACCCAGCGCCTGTGAAGTAATTCACACCTTGGTGTCTTCAGGCAACATTATAATGCAGGAACCGGCTTCCTACAACAATATAGATGAACTTGTAGGTATTGTGCTGAGTGAAACAAGCCAATCTCAAAAGGAAAAATACTAATTATTTGGCACCGTTGAATCACTTAAAAGTAATCAAATTCATTCAAGGATATTCCCTACTTTCTCTTTCTGTCCAGTTCAGTGCCAGTGCATCTGGCTTTATGTTGAGTTCTTTGAGCCACCTGGACTTGAGTTTTGTGCAGGGTGATAGATATGGATCTATTTACATTCTTCTACATGCCAACACCCTGTTAGGCTAACACCATCTGTTGAAGATGCTTTTTCTTTTCTACTGTATACTTTTGGCTTCGTGTCAAAAACCAAGTATCCATAGGTGTGGCTTTATGATAAATTTGTGTTTTTATGCCAATATCATGTGCTTTTTGTTTGTTTTGATTTGGTTTGGTTTTTGGTTTTTTTTTTTTGAGACAAGATTTCTGTGTAGCCCTGGCTGTCCTGGAACTCACTTTGTAGACCAAGCTGGCCTCGAACTCATAGAGATCCATCTGCCTCTGACTCCTGAATACTGGGATTAAAGGCATGGGCCACTACTGCCCAGTGCAGTTTTTATTACTATTGCTCTGTATTACAGCTTGAAATCAGAGATGGTGATAGCTCCAGAAGTTTTTTTTTTTTTTTTTTTTCTTATTGTACAGGCTTGTTACAGGAGACAACTTCCTGAACAGAACACCAATTACACAGGCACATATTGACAATTAACAAATAGGACCTGATGAAACCAAAAAGATTTTGTAAGGCAAAGGACACTGTCAAAAGGACAAAATTCAGGCTGCCAGTAAAAAAAAAAAATTGGCTGAGAAAAAATACCTTGCTTGCCCACACTTTGTTAATCTATAACAAGTTGCTTGAACATGAACGCATGTGGGTCTTTGGGAATAATTTGTTTTTTTTTTACCTGTAGTATGTAAATTGTTTAATCATGTAAGGGTATTGGGGAACATGCTGTTTTTTACTTGTATTCATTGTAATCTTCACTTGAAAAATAGAATGTAACCACATTATAATTCTTATATTGCTTGAAAGATTTTGCTGGAGTATAAGCTGTAAGGGAAAAAATAAAGAAAGTAAGAAGGAAAACATCAGGAAAGAGTTAAAAGAAAGACATCAGGAAGACATCAGGAAAGAGATAAGGGAAAAAATAAAGAGATCCTGACTTGTCAAAGGTCTCTCTCTCTCTCTCTCTCTCTCTCTCTCTCTCTCTTGCTGGCCCCAGGGAATTAAGTTTTACTCCTTTGGATAAAAAAAGTCAATTATGTGAATAGTTGCGGACTCCATGCCTCCCCTTCAGTTTCTGAATTGCTGAAAGCTGGCCCTACAGCAGCACAGAACCACTTATTTATTCTTGGCTTTGTTAGTCATGTTCTTGGCATCATAGTTAAAAATTTATTGCTCAGACAGAGCTCAAAAAGACAGTTCCCCACATGTTCTCCTTGTTTTGTGGTCTCAATGTGTATCCCATTTTTTTTGTACAAGTTAGAAAGCTTTGGATATGAACTGTGATAGTTTACAACTATGTGATTGTACTTAATACCTAAAAATGGTTAAAATAATATGCTTTGCTATGTGCTGGTCACAATGTGCATTTTATTACAACTTTCTTTTTTCTTTCTTTTCTTTTTGAGACAGGGACTCAATATGTGGCCCAGGCTCTCTTCCAATCCACAATCTTCCTGCCTCTGATTCTGCAGTGCTGGGATTTGTGCATCCTCTGTCTGGTCATTTAACAGTTTTTAAAAGTGATACGTAGATTTAAGGGTGTTATAGAATATTATTTTAAGATGTGTTAGATTTGTTTATGCTGTGGAACATCTGGTTAATGATGCCAAAATATGTTACATTATTTTACATTGCATTTGTTTAACTCTGTGGAGCTGTGTTACTTTGCCTGCCTAAAACACCTGATTGGTCTTTAAATGATCAATATCTAGGCAGGAGAAAGGATAACTCTGTGGAGCTGTGTTACTTTGCCTGTCTAAAACACCTGATTGGTCTTTAAATGATCAATATCTAGGCTAGAGAAAGGACAGATGGGGCTGGAAGACAGAGAGAATAAATAGAAGGAGCAATCTGGGAAAAAGAGACTGAGAATCAAGAGAAGGAGGAAGACTCTACAGGCAGTCACCCAGCTACACAGCAAGTCATGGAGTAAGAAGTAAAGAAAGGTATAAGAAACAGAAAGCTAAAAGCTCAGAGGTAAAAGATAGAGGAGATAATTTAAGTTACAAAAAGCTGGCTAGAAACAAGTCAAGCTAAGGCCAGGCATTTATAAGAAAGAATAAGACTATGTGTATTTATTTGAGAGCTGGATGGCAGGTCCTCCAAAAGAGCAAAGAGTGAAAAACTAACAGCAACATAAGGGTTGGAGAAATGGTTCAGCTGGCAAAGTACTGGCTTTGGCAAACATACAGACCTGAGTTCTATCCCCAGAATGCACTTTAAAAAAAAATAAAAACAAAAAAACCAAACAAAACAAAAAACAAAAAACAAAAAAACTAAAACCAAACAACCAAACAAAAACCAACTGGGCCTGAAGATGGCCCAGTAGTTAAGCTCTAATTGCTTTTGCAGAGGACAGGCGTTCACTTCCTAGCACACACATCAGGCAGCTGGAAGGGAGGGACCGTATGCCTCTGGCTGCCACCTGCACTCACGTTCACACTGCTGCACCCCCACCCTGCCACACATATCAACAACATAAGTATTTTTTTAAGGAAGGAATAGAAGCCAGGTGTAGTGAGTGGTGGTTCATGCTCCCCTCCCCTGGGAAGGCAGAGAGGTTCCTGGGTGTGCTGGTCAGCTGCCCTAGCCTAATTGGTGAGCCCATTGAGAAATAGGCAGACAGCTTGAGGAATGACACTCAATCTTATTTTCTGACCCATACAGGCTCCACACACACACACACACACACACACACACACACACACACACACACACACACAAAGTAAAACTAACATTTAAGATTGTTATAGCCAGGAATGGCAGTTTCAGCCCTATAACCCCAGATGCCCAGGAAGCTGAGGCAGGAGAATTACAAGTGAGACCAATCTGGGCAACTTAGCAAAACCCTGTCTTCAAACAAACAAAATCAAACCTATCTTTCACAGATTGTTATTTATTCTTTCCCCTCCTCCTTCTTGTGCACCGAGTGATCCTGGGGCATGGCACAGATGCTTATGAATGCCCTAGGCTCCAGATTTCTTCTAATTTTCAAACAACTTTCTTTCCTGGATCCCAAGAATGATTGATGTCTGAGTAAGTTTATTTGATTCATCATATTCTGCCTTTAACCCTGAAGAATTAACTATCTGCACTTATATTTATTTTGGTGCTTGTTATAGATGGGACTCTTATCTGAGGAAAAAGGTAACATTCTATTTTTAGTGACAGGCTCTGGAGTTTACCCATAGTCTGATTAATAGTGTATCTTTTAGTTGTTTATTTTTTCTATCATTGTACTTCCTGACTCTGGGCCTGCCTTCTTTAAGCTTCTGTCTATGTTGACAGGGATCCAGTTTTTGATTTTAAGGCTGAGGGCTACTGTTTAGGCCAATTAGGGAATTAGTGAAACCCAGGCATTAAGGAGCAACCCATTGCACACACATCAGAAAATAAGGGTGGGAGGAGAGCTTTGCCCCTGGCTCATGTCCATGCCACCTCTCCTTCCATGACTGAGGAAAATGTCACTACTGCACACATTCCACAGTCTTCATTAGCCTGGGTGACCACAGAGTGGGGCAAACAACACACTGACTTCCTGAGAGGTGCTTTTATTACAAACTGACATGACCAGTCACTCCTTCAGCAGAAAGTATAACAGAAATAAAAGACGAGACAACCCTGCAAACCCAGAAAACAGCCAGCTCCAGGTCCATGACCATGCATCACTGTTTGCCCCAGCCTGTCTCCTGAGGTGCATCCCTTATAGAGGTTGGGCCAGGGTGCTTCCCCTGAAAGCCTCAAAGGCCCCTGTGTGAGCTTGACCATGCCCTGCCACCACCATACTTAGATACACAGAAAAGAAGAAGGGGACAAGGTTATTTCTTCTTTAAAGGCATCTTATAGGAGATAGTGGAAATGCTGGAATCTAGTGTTTCATAGCTTTCTTCAGAAGAATCCAACATGGGAGTCTTTTGGTGGGTTTTGGCATGGGAGTCCTCTATGAAGACTCCTGCCAATTTGTCATCCTTCATGATGGTTTGTGAGGAAGGCCCCCTGGCAGGTGTTTGGGTGTACTGAAAGCCCCCAGTGAGCATTAGTTTTTTAACTGTGTTCTTGAATGGCATTGGTTTCTTCTTGGGGGCTTTGGCACTCCTGGTTGAGCTTTCATAGTGGACTTCTGGAGTCCACGGACTTCTTACTATTCAGGCAGGAAGATTTTCAAGTAACTTTGAAGCTCTTTGAGTCTCAGGTTCTCCTTTTGGGACATTTATGCCCTCATTACCTGCAGGATAGAAAAGACACAAATACAGATCCCTCAAATGTCACTTCTCTCCAAACTCTGCTTGTAATGTATGACAGCCAAGTCATCTCTCGGTGTCATCTCCTCAACCTCTGGGGTTCTTTCCTCTAAGCACTCCTCTTCCTCTAGACTGTAAAAATCATATTATGATCCCACAGCTCAGCATGGAGGTGAGGCTTAAGGATCTACTATAAGTCTCTAGCTTACCATAGAAGGTCATAGAAGGAGAGGTCCAGGTTTTGCTCAGAGCTCATGTGTATAACCTTTTGTTACAAATTAAATAAAAACTAAATACATTCTCTATTAGAATCACAACTCATTTGTTTGTCTTTTGTTTGTTGTTTAAGACAAAGTCTCACTTTGTAGCTCAGGCAGGCTTGGAACTCATTATGTAACCTAAGCTGGTCTTGACCCTATCTATGGCAATCCTCCTATCCCATCTTTCAAGTACAGGTATTAAACGTGTGAACCACCATCCTGGCTATAAGTGAAGCTTTTTAAGGACAGAGCTTTGACTTCCATTACCTGCACAGTGCTTCAAAGTGTGTGCCACAAAACAAGTGCCAGATAAATATTATTTTACTGATAGGAAAACATAGGCAGTAGAGACTTATAATACTGGAGGAAGGAAATTGAGACTAAGTCTATCAAAGAGAAACAGTGAGACTAGATGATCTGTAAAAACATGAGAACATGTCCAAATTATCAAGGAGTTTACACTGTGGTGAGTAATGGCGCCAGCATCCAGAAGATGAGTTTTCTGAGGCAGGAATCCCAGGGCTAGGACGGGATTTCTGCCTGCACATATTCAATCTAGAAAGAACAGCAGCACACATGGGTTTTGTTTTTCAGCTTCTGAGATATTTACATTCATGCATTTCACAAAAACGCTAATGACATTAAATTCTTAAGGTCATCAATAGTTTATAAGTGAAGACATGATATAAAACGAGTTAAGGAGATGACACCTGCTGCAATAATCTAGAATAAAGAATGCCAATAAGTGTGAAAATTTGGTCAATGGTTCTCAAGTTGTCATCTAGGGGTCTTTGGAAACCCTGGAGACTTTTATAAGGGGGGTCTCTTAAATCAAACAACTTTCATAATACTACTAATGCTATTTGCCTTTTGTTTTAAACATCTGTCTCATGTCTGGTGGCATTTCCAGAGGCCACACCACAGGTCAGACAGTAAGAGACAGAAAATTCAGAAGCACATATGAGAATTTTTGTCATTTTTTAGATTTAGATGCTGAGATTTTGAAAAATGTAGAAGACTGCTACGTTTCTTACTACATTCTTTTTCAAAAACTGATACATCACATGAAAACCTTTAAAAATTATTTTGAAATGAGCCTGTAAATACTTTTAAATTTACAATATGGTAAATAACAATAGATGTTAAATACAATAAGAAATGAAAAACCGTGGTCTGCATTCAGAAGCATCAGTTAATGGAAAAGGATACAGAACTAGCAGGTGAGACAGCAGCAAAAAAGAGAATAAAACCATTACAATTATGTTCAGATTTTTGTTGTTGTTCTTTTAAGACAGCTTCTCACATAACCAGGCTGACTTTGAATCACTATGTAGCTGAGGATGACCTTGAAGTCCAGATTTTGCTGCCTCTACCTCCCAAGTACTGGGATTACAGGTGTTCACCACTACAGCTGGCTGTGTTTAGATATTTAAAAGAAACTACATGAAAGCAGGGAGAAAAGGGGAAGCTATATATACACACATGCCATCAAGATGGCTCAGAGGGTAAAGTCATCTGCTGCCAAGCCTGATAACCAGAGTTTGATCCGAGGGACCCTCATAGGGGAAGGAGAAAAAGGTTATTTTTCTTCTGATACCTCATGCCATCAAGATGGCTCAGAGGGTAAAGTCATCTGCTGCCAAGCCTGATGATCAGAGTTTGATCCGAGGGATCCTCATAGGGGAAGGAGAAAAAGGTTATTTTTCTTCTGATACCTCCCATGGCAAGGTGGGTTTATAACCCGAGCTTCTCATTTCACTCTGCCTATAGCTCCCTCCATCACCCCCTTTTCAAGTAAGTATAGTTCATAATTTATGGCCATGATAACATGTGACTACATCATAATATTTGTGTATTTTATTGTTATTTTCACATGCTACTTAAGCCAGGCAGTTAAATCTCATGTTGTCAAGTCTCTAGACTACCTACATCATTTTTCATGTGAGTCATTTAATATCATACTGTTTCATGGCCCTAGGAGCAATACTCTAACACACACACACACACACACAATGCACTATGATGTTTGCACAATGATTAAAAAAAAAGGTAAGCAAGTTCTTTTGGGAAAGCACCCCCATTCTCCAGTGATGAGAACTTATGGCAAGAACAAGCTGTGTATTCAAAAACCAGCACGACTAACTATATAATTCATATCAGCAACAACTTAACTTTTGTTCCATTGGTGCTTGGTTGAGTTTGCAGATGGGAACTCAAGGACAAGGAGACTGACTAAATTTCCCTGCTTCTCTATGGTCCCCATCCCTCAGTTCCCACACCCCCTCATCTCTAGACAGGGACATGAAGAGCAGGACCTGTCTTCTTGAGGCTGTGGGGACAAAGAGGAAGGAACAAGTAAGGCTTTTTTCTTTACCTGCAGATACAGTGGCATCAGCTTGAAGCCACCTTTCTTTTCTAAGCTCTTTCATCCTAGAAGGAAGCAAACCATGTATCAGTTCACAGGCCTCTTTCTAACAGCATCATTGAGGCAGTGGTCAGAAGACTCATTACCCAGCCAGACCCTCACCCGAGCTAGCGCCTGTGCTTCCTCCCCTTTAAAAGGTAAATTGCCAAATCAGAATGATGGATCTTAAGAACCATCGTCTGCCCTAACTTACATCCTTCTTCCAGGCTGTTAGTTCTCTCTTTCATCTTAAAACCCCAATCCTGGGCTTCGGAGAAGACTCAGTGGTTAGCTCTTAGCACTGGCTGCTTTTCCAGAGGACCCAGGTTTGATTCTAAGTGCCCACCTGGTGGCTCACAACCCATCTGTAACTATAGTTCCAAGGAATCTGATACCATCTTCTAGCTTCTGTGGCTGTGTGGCAAACAGGCACACATGCAACCAAAACAACCACACATACACAAATAATAAAATACTAAAAGCAAACTAAACCAAAACCCTGAATCATTTGTCCTTCAAAGATTCTCAAATGTCATTTTCTGGACAGACATAAAAAGGAGTATGGTCCAGAAAAGAAAAAGCAATTTTTCTCTAGGTTACCCTGCAACTAAGATGTGAAGCCAGAGCTACTATCTAGTGCTCTTGGTCTGTGTGCCCTGCTCTGCCAATTCCTACCAGGAGGAGAATGGAGGCCCTTGCTCTGAACAGTTTCAGTCTCTGTTCTTTCTCAACAGATCACACTAATGATGACTGGACTCTAGTGAGAGTCCTTATTTGAAAAGGGGGTGAGGGAGGGGGCTGCGGCAGAGTGGAATGAGAAGCTCAGGTTATAAACCCACGTTGCCATGGAAGGTATCAGACAAGAATAACCCTTTTCTCAATTTTCTGTAAGAACCCATTTATTACTTTTATTGAGAGGAATTTTTCATTAGAATTATAAATATATACTTACCAGTTATAATAAAATACAAAGCCAATGATAATTGCAGAAGTACTATCCAGGAAAAGCCACATGAATGTATAGTATCCTGGTGTCTGCAAAACATGAACAAAACGAAGTTAAAGGACTTTATGGTTGGAAGGCTTTTAAGTCTCTTGCTCATCTGCTCGGGATGAGGGCCTAGAGGAAGTGGGGAACAGATGAGACTATCTCCAGCTATTCTAACAGCCACATGCACACAAGCAGGGGATTTGCAAGGACTAAAATGTGCCATGCCCTTCATTTTCCTTGCCTCTCAAGGCAAACATCTATAAAAATAACAGAGAAGCCACACACCAAGTCTGTTCTGGACCCAGGACTCCAGCCCGTGTGATCTGACTTCTTGTGCTCTGTTTCTGTAACATGGTCTCTGCAATCTAGCTCACATCCATGCTGTCTGGGAAGCCTTCCCCAACACAGCTTTCAGACAGACCTAAGGGAGCAAAGCCAACAGGTCCAGCACCCCAGTGATAAAGAAAACTAGTCCATGAACCAGCATCTGGGTACCACTATTCAGACACAGCACTCTTCACATAAATGCTGAATTATATGTAATCCCCTTTGACTCAGATGCCTGCCCCTCAAGGCTCTGCCAAGACCAGCTCTTTGGCCCAGCACTCTGGGAGCTCTGCCTCCTGTACTGATTCACATGAATTTCCTAACCCCTGGTTTGAGTGCCCCCTCTCCTCATTGCTCCCTTCCAGTGTTTCTTGATATTCCAAAAGCTGGTACTTTTTAGTTTTTTCTTAAGCTTTTCTGCCTAATGTTTAACTTTAAAAAGAGCAAAATTAAACTTTTCTTTAAAAAATATTTATTTTATTTGTGCCACATGTGTACACATAGGCATCTGCAGAATCCAGAGGGGACATTTAATGCCCTGGAGCTGGACTTCTGGGCAGTTGCAAACTGCCTGATATTGGTGCTGGGAACTAAACTTAGTCCTTTAGAAGAGCACCAAGCACTCTTAATGCTGAACCAGCTCTTCAGACCCTAGACTGCTTTCTAGTGGGGAATGGTAGAATGTGTTTATAGTCCTAGCTACTTGAGAGACTGAGGCTGGAGATTGGCTTGAGGCCAAGAATTTGAAGATTGCAGAATGGCACATCAAGACTCCCTTACAACAACCTGCTCTCCGTTGAATGCGGCTGTTGTGCCCCACTCAAATGACTATGCAGACAAGAAACCCAGGCTCTGTTGCAGTAACTGGCTAGCTACAGCTCCCTCCACAGGCACTAAATGACTCAGCTGTGGCTACAAAACAGGTCTTCAGGTCACCAAGCCCCACCAGGGTGCTAGAGTATGCTGGCTGGATGCTGGCTCACCTATTTAACATTGGATTCAAGAAACAGTTTTCAAAGGGATCCAACTTTCTTCCCATAATATTCCCTGTGACTGTTATTGCTGCCATACCGCTAGTGTGTGTGTGTGTGTGTGTGTGTGAGAGAGAGAGAGAGAGAGAGAGAGGGAGAGGGAGAGAGAGAGAGAGAAAGAGAGAGGGAGAGAGAGAGAGAGAGAAAGAGAGAGAGAGACTTCATTGTGAATCTTATATCATGGAAACATGGACTTGCGAGCTTCAGTTTCTTCATGGGTATAATAATAACAGTTTCAAATTCAGGAGCTTAGATTGCATGCAGCATGTAAAGTGCATTGTGAAGATTCAATAAATAAAGAACCCAGAAGAGATGGGTGAAGAAGGGAAAAGACATACCTCCATTACTCACAGATGCCTCTATTCTGAAGTAGCTTAACAGGGAACTGCACATGGGGCTACCCCGGGGGTGGATGAACACAGCACAGTCATACCAGGCTTAGAGCGATCTGGACAAGCAGCTCACCATGAAGAAGAGAGGGTGACTAAGCTGACTCAGGATCTGGATGTTGTCTGTGGTCACAGAGTTGATCCTATGACACCAGGCCAATGAATAGAGCCAAGGTTCATTGACAACATACATATTGATGTGGATTTTAGCTGCCTTATAATGTCTGGAACAAAAACAGCCCACAGAGGATTTCAGCTCAGTTGTACTCTCAATAAGTAAAGGGGAACAACCATGTTTGTAAAAAGCTGCTGCCTAAATCACTGAACAAACAGCTAGTCCAAGGACAGCATAGGATTCATTGTGACAGAATGGGCTCAGGTGTGGGTTGGCCTAGTCCTGCTCCTGTAGCATCGGCTATAGCAGAGTGCTGGTGAACAAAATGTCCTAAGGGAGGTAGGAGTGGGATGTAGTAAAACAAAGAAAATAGAAAGAGAAAAAGAGGAAGAATTGGGGGAACAATAGGAAACAGGAAACCCTTCTTCACAGCATTTACAAATTTGCAAATATTCCCACTACAGTCAATTTCAAGCTACAGCTGAGAAAACCAATTTGTGGAGGAACAGCAGTCACCTCTGGTATCACTTCCCACCCTGACTAATGACCCACTTATCTACCATTTTCTTGGTTTGATCGTAGTGAGTTACAATACAAACTACTGTAACCCATCCTTGTCTGTGTATCCAGACCTAGATCAACACCGAGCTGCATAAGTATAAATATTAATTGAAAGAAAAAAAGTAAACACTGGTGTGGTGAATGTTTTAACATTAACTATAAAGAGCTTTATTTTGGCGGGGCATTGGTGGCACATGCCTTTAATCCCAGCACTCGGGAGGCAGAGGCAGGTCTCTGTGAGTTCAAGGCCAGCCTGGTCTCCAGAGCCAGTGCCAGGATAGGCTCCAAAGCTACACAGAGAAACCCTGTCTTGAAAAACAAAAACAACAAACAGCAGCAGCAACAAAAAGAGCTTTATTTTCCCCCTTCACAATAATTTTGTGGGAGAAATCAAACCCAGCTTTTCATAAGACACTACGTATCAGTGGACCTTCTGCCTGACCTGAGGAGAAAGAGGGGGATAAGTGAAAGAAGGACTGGCAAAGTAAGGCTGGTTGTTGTCTCAGATTCAAGTTCTCAGAAAACACACCAAGCACCTTCCCCTGGGCTGCTTGGCCAGTGGGCTAAGATCAAGTGTAAGCACGTCCCCAAGTCTTTTTAAATCCTGACCCAGTAGTCACATTGGAAAGTACAAGTCTGCCGTGCACTAGCTTGGCAAATTCTGTGCTTCAGAGCAGAGACTTAAGATAATAACCATGCCTTTCAACAGGAGGTACAGCCAGTTTCCCACACCCAGCTAAGCACTGCCTCTAAGGAAGTTCTACAGGTCACCTAATTTTAGAACCAACTTAAAGGGAAAAGTAGTAAAAAAATTACTTCTCTGTACTATTTAAAACTATGACTCAAATTCAGTGTTTCTAGATATGAATAAGAGATGTAGAAACTATAATTTAAAACATAATACCCTTAACAATTACTTCAAAGAAAATGAAATACTTAGGGATAAATGTAAGGAAGCATTAAGGATGTAACCCTGAAAATGATGAAATACTAATGGAAGTAAATGAAGAAGACAAGGCAACAGAGTGGTATTCATTCTCAGATTGAAGACTCTCTGGAGCAGAGCTGCCAGCTGTTCCCAAGCTGATCTGTAACATCATTGTGAGTCCTAGGGAAGGCTAGCAAAGGTTTGTTTGTGCAATTAGGTTAGCTGATCCAAAACGCATATGCAAAGGCACAGCTCTAGGAAAATTACAGCTCTATAGTGAAGGATGGTCTCAAGCTGGCTATGTAGCCCAGGCTGGCCCTGACACTCCTCAGTCTCCCATATGCTGAGGAAAACATACTTCAATCTGGAAAAAGAGTACATGAAAGGATAAGCTTCACTGGATAGTGAAGCTACATATATGTATATGTATATGTATATGTATATATGTATACATAGTTATACTATGTAATCAAGACAGCATGGTACCAGAGCAAGAAGAGACACGTAAACAGAAACTCTGGAAACAGACCTATACAAAGTTGCTCAAATAACTTGTTCCAAAGCTATCAAAGCAAATGAGTGGACCTATACAAAGTTGCTCAAATAACTTGTTCCAAAGCTATCAAAGCAAATGAGTGGACCTATACAAAGTTGCTCAAATAACTTGTTCCAAAGCTATCAAAGCAAATGAGTGGACCTATACAAAGTTGCTCAAATAACTTGTTCCAAAGCTATCAAAGCAAATGAGTGGAAGAGTAGATTTTCAACAAATGTCACTAATGATCTGGAAGGCCAGAGTTACCCTCCCAAAAGAACATCAACCAAACCTCAGACTATGTATAAAAATGAACTCAGAATGATTTGAAGGCTTGAATATATAATGTAAGAATATAAACCTTATAGAAAACATAGAAGAAAAGAACTCTGTCAGGTGTGGAGCTGAGCAAGGAGTGAGATCAGAGTTGAATGCTCACTTTCTTAAAGGGAGAACTCATAAGCCAGCTTTGTCAAAATAGAAACACCACTCTTGCTTTGTGGAGACCTCATGCCCTAATAAGAAGATGCTACAAGTAAGTCACAGAGTAGGAGAACATGCTCCCTTTTTATAAAGTTTTATTTTCATCTATTTATTTGTGTATGTCTGTGCCTGATATATGTATGCAGGGGCTCATGGAATCCTAAAGAGTGTGTCAAATCCTGTGGAGCATAGGTGTTGGGAGCTTGGCCTTCTGGAAGACCAGTACATACATACTCTTAACCCCTGAGACATCTCTCCAGTTCTAGGAAAATGCTTTCAAACCCTATCTGACAAAGGGTGAAAAGAATCCTCAAGATTCAATAATAAAGAAAAAGAATTTAAATGAAGAGACCCATGAGCAAATAAACAGAACACCATTAGCCTTTGAAGAATGTATCCTTAAACAAACTGATGTGACTATATGCCTATCAGAGTAGGTAAGATTAAAAAGTGAAAACACCAAAATTTATCAAGAATGTAGAAACTCTGGGTCATGGTTTTGGCAGAAATGTAAAATGATTCCGTTTTCCTGGAAAAGTCTGACTGCTTCTTATGCAACATTCAATTACTATACCCCAGAATTTGAAATCTTGGGCATTTATCCCTGATAAATACTTATGTTTGCATAAAATTCCATATGCAAACATGGAAATAATCAGATGTCCTTCTGCTAGTAACTGATTAAACAAACGTTAGTATACACAGCATTGAACACTATTCAGCAACAAAGAGGAACAAACGGTGGATAAATGTAACATGTTGAATAAAATTTAAGAGAATTATGATGAATGAAAAATAAACCAAAACCCAAAGGTTGCACATACTATGAGTTTGTTCATTCTTGAAATAACAACATTATAGACATTTTGCCAGGGATTAATATTTTAGGCTAGGGGGGAAAGGACCAAAGGACATAGAGTGTGGCTATTAAAGGATAATATCAAAGAATACTTGTGATGACTGTTCAAGGACTTGTTTTTATTCCCATCTTCACTGCAGCATTATTCACAGTGGCCACTATAAGGAAAGACTCCACCAATAGATGAATGGATTAAGAAAATAAGGTGCTTATATGCAATGGATACTACTCAACTTTTGAAAAACGAAATTCTGTCATCTGCCCCAATATAGATGAACCCTATATTACATGAAATAAGCCAGGGAGAAAAAGACAAATATTGTATGATCTCACTTAAATATGGAATCTTAGTCAACCTTACAAAAGTGCAGAGTAAAATGAATACATCAAGTGTAAACAAACATGTGTGGAGAGGCTGGAAAGATGGTTACCTGAAAAGAACACTGCCTGTTCTTCCACAGGCCCCTCACCTCCGTGGAGGAGAACACCACCTACAACCCAGGTCTAGGGTATCTTATGCCCTCTTCTGGTCTCTATGGGTACTGAACATATGTGATGCACATATATACACACAGGGAAACACACATATAAAATAAAATGAATCTTTAAAATATGTGAATGATGAGTAATTAGAGTACAAAGGAGTATGATCTACATATGGCAAATGCTTGTTGGCAAAAGAAGGGAAGGAGAAGAAGCAATGAGAAAGCAGGGGATTCAAAGTTGATAACCAAATAAAGGAATCTTCAGACAAAAAGAAGTTAAGTAACTTGGGTAGAATCGTTATTTTGTAAATGCTATAGCAATAGTGCATGCCGGGGAGGGGGTGGTGGTCAAACACTTACCTCAAACCACGATACAACAACCTTTTATAGTCAACATTTATTATAGTAATATTATCTTTCTGAAGCTCATCAATAGTTAGTAAACGACCCACTTGCTGAAAACCAGGAGCCTTGTACCTGACATAGTCTCTATCAAAACCCGGCAACCAAAGTATCTGCAAGGAGAAACAAATAGTCCTTCAGTCAACTGTCCTGGTATAAACAGCCTAGGAAAAATGGGTGAAGCTCCATTCTAGCACTGGCAGTAGTCTACAGGAAGCAGAGAAAGATTCTAGCCCTTGGCAAAGCAGTCAAATTAGTTATATTGTCTAAAGAACTCTTAAAAATGGGGAAGGCAGCTGGGTGGTGGTGGCGCACGCCTTTAATCCCAGCAATCGGGAGGCAGAGGCAGGTAGATCTCTGTAAGTTTGAGCCCAGCCTGGTCTACAGGAACTAGATCCAGGACAGCCTCCAAAGCCACAGAGAAACCCTGTCTTGAAAAACAAAACAAAACTTTACAAATGATTTAAAAAATAACTTTGCAAATAAAGAGAGTGATTCTAAAATAAAAAAACCAAAACCAAACAAAGAGAAAATCTTTACTTAAACTGTTATGGTGGAAACTTTGCCCCAGCCCCGAGCATCCGTATACCCAGTCTGAAATGTTCTGGTAGAAGTGCCACCCAAGCCTCCATCCTCTATCTCCCTCCAAACCCTGCTGCATCTCAGAAAGCCCGCCAAATGATGACCTCTCCCCCAGAGATGCTCAAGACCACTCCCACAAGGTATATAAACTGCCCTTCCCCTCCAGAAAATAGACTGTGGTTTTCCAGTCTCTCTTGGCCATCTCCTCTCTGGGTGGCTGAAAAGCCATCCAGGAGCATTATTCATTAAACATGAGGTTTTTCTAATTCCGTTTGATTAGGTCTGATTTGGATTGCTGCATTGGTGGAGCGGCTTATCAGGGTACAGAATCTTTTCACTAAAAACTGCTGGTCTTTCTAGATTATTCTTTAAAGTGAAAGTCCTCAAAGCTGTACTGTCATGAAGCCTTATAGGTCTATGTTGACCACGGGGCAGGTCACATCAGAGTTATTGTATACACTATTATTTTTGGTGTGGTACTAGGGATTGAACACATGGTCTCAAGCATGCTAGGCAAGGGTTCTGCTGGTAAGCTATATTCCCAGCCCTCTTCTTACATTTTTAATTTTGAAGCAAGGTCTTGCTAAGTTGTGTAAGTTGGCTTTAAACTTATTGTATTGTCCATGCAAGCTTTAACTTGAAGTTTTCCTGCCCCAGCATCCTGGGTAGTTAGAACTACAGTGATGTATGGCGAGGCCTGGCTTATATACATTATTCTTTTCTTCCTGCACATGTATGTGTGTGTAGCTTGCATGTATGAATGTTCACAAATATGTGAGTGTACATGTGTACACATACATGTGTGTCCATACATGTGAAGGCCAAAAGTTGACAGTAGGTATATTCTTACATTGTTTTCCATTTTATTTATTTATTTTTTTGAGACAGGGTCTCTTACTGAACCTTGAGTTTGCCAATTCCAGTCAGGCTAGCAAGCTTTCCCTACCCTGTTTCTGCCTCCCGAGTGCTGGCATTATCGGTGGGTGCCATGGCTATACAGCTTTTTCCTGGGTTCTGAAGAACTGAACTCCACCTTCATGTTTGTGTGCCAAGTGTCTCATGCACTGAGTCATCTTCTCAATTCTCACATCCCTCTTTAACAATGTGCTAATACTATATTTGGTTGAGAATAGCAAACAGTCTCAATGTTTCCCCCGCATGGGGATAACTTTAACTGGATCATTCTCAGATTGCCACCTGTAGCTGTATAGACAATAATCTCCATTTCCAAAGGAAGCAAAATTACTCACAGATCTCAGAGAAGAATTACATGATAGATTGAATTCAACTACTATGCTCCTGGACAGGCTGCCCACCTCCCAACCTCTGCCATAAATACTAAGAAAAACATACCAGATGTTGCTCAATTTGGGAGTCAAGGATGACCTTTACTACTTTTCGTACAAATGTGTTTCTGAGAGGATGCTTTGGTGGAGGGCCGAAAAGATCAAATATCACAAACTTTCTTTCCCTTTTTGCAAGTTCCAAAAACTGATGCAGCGATGGAATTGATTGGTTGCTTGCTCTTCTTTTATCAGCCTCTGATAAAGGTTTTATGCCAAAAAACGGCTTATTCTAAAAATAAATGTATCAAAGAAAAACATTGACTTTCATCAAAAGCACCCCTAGGTTTCCTGCTCTGTGGTTCTGCCTCCATACTGCTCTGTTGCCACTCAATCCACTATGTCCTCTGACATATGAACTCTGAGATACAAGGGAAAAACAATGTCATCCCCATTGATGATTCTAGGGTTTGGAATGATTTCTTTGATATTCTAGATTTCTAATACATGGACCAAAGGATCTCCATGTTCTTAACTTTCTTATTAGGCCTTCTATTCTGTAACTCACAGTACCCACCCCCTTTCTATCATATTGTCTCACCACATAGGCTCTTACTGTCACAGTTTTGTGTAATGGAAAGAATATATACTTTGTTTTCAGGGTTCATTGCTTTAATACTAGATGCACCACTCTATTTGTTTATCATATCAACCTGCTAAAATCTTACTCTCTGCCTGTTCCTTCTTCATGTTTCCTTCTTCATCAAGATTTTCTTAAATATTCCTGAACTAAGGGGAGTTTGATAGCAAGAAGTTCTGGTGGCCCATTATTGTGCATCTATAAATTTATGTCTTGTTCTGACTTGATGTATTCATACACATCTTAGACTACAGTTTAAATCCTCACTCAGTATGCTTTGTTGCTGTTCATTATCTTTAAATTCAACCTTACTCAAGTTTTTAGTATGCTGGCATAATGTAGCTAGTTCTTAGTCAGCATTCCACATAAATGACCTCTAGCCAAGTTCTGGACAAAGTCCTTGTTTCTCCCTGAAACCTCATGAGTTGGGCATCCACTATCTATGTTTCTCTTTGCATTCTTGTCTTCCAAGCTTCTACCAGAATCACCCATTAAGTTCTGTTTGCAGTATTCAAAGGCTTTTCTAGGCTGGACCAAAATTCTTTACAATTCTGCAAAACCAGTTCTAAAGGCTTGAGGACCACCACATGGTCACAGCAATGAACCCCACTTCTCAGTACTAATTTTCTGTATTACTTTTCTCATTGTTAGACAAAATATCTAGCAATAAGCAATGTAAGGGAAGAAAGGTTTATTTTGGCTCACAGTTTGAGGGTATAGTCCATCACTGTGGGGAAGTCATGGCAGCAGGAGCTTGAGACAGCTGGTCACACTGTGTCTGTAGTCAGGAAGCAGAGACCAAGGAATGCCAGTGCTCAGCTAGCTTCCTCCTTTGTATTCAGTCCAGGACTCCCTAGCCCAGGGAATGGTGCTACCCACGGTTAATGTAGTTATTTCCAACTCAATTAACCTACTCTAGATAATCCCTTATAGTCATGCCCATAGGTTAACCTAATCTAGATGATTCTTCATAGACATTCCAGGAAGTTTCTCTCTTAGGTAATTATAGATCTTATCCAGTTAACAATCAATACTACTCTTGTTCAATATTCTTAGTTTTAGTTGCCCAAACCATAAAATAGGAAAGTGATGTAGTAATAAATGCATTTCTTAGGATTTTTTTTTTTGAGCCAAGATCTTGCTATATAGTTTAGCCTGGTTTCAAACTAATAATCCTCCTGCCTCAGCCTCCTGACTGCTGGGATTATAGATCTGTGCTACCACAACCAGCCTTTAGGATTATTTTGAAGATTAAGCATGTATCTGATAGGCTTATTAGTGGACTGGATATACTGAAAAAGAATCTATGAACTTGAAGGTCGAATGAGATAAACTTCCACAACCAAGAAGAACCCAAACCAAAAGGCACCAAACACTGAAGCCTATCAAAACAGAACATCCAAGGACAATAGGCTGTTAAGTAAGAAAGGTAAAGATACCTACATCCCCATGTTATTAGGAGCATTATATGTGATAAACAAATATTAAATCAACCCATATCCATCAATGGCTGGAATACTATTTATTCTTAAAAGGTAAAGAAATTCTGTCATCTGAGATAATATGGGATCATCTTTCAGGACATCATGCTAAGTGAAATAAGCCTGGCACAGAGTGACAAATGCTAGTTTCATTTATGTGTGGAGTCTAAGAAGGTTTTACTGATAAAGGCATAAAATAAAATTTCATCTAGACATAAATAATAATGTCAGAACTTTGCTTTGCTATGTGCTTACTATAGCTTAAAAACTCACTAATTCTTGAAATAATAATGCTAGAGCACAATTGAAGCATTCTTATCACACACAAAAATATTATGTGTAGTAAAACATAGGTTAATTGGTTTGATCTATCCATTACATATGCAAACATATTTCAAAAACAGCCTTTTGGGACTGGGCATATAGTTTAGTGGTAGAGCATATGTCTAGCATACATAAGGCCCTCGCTTTGGTCTTCAGCACTGCAAAAACAAGCAAGCAAGCAAGCAAACAAACAAAAAAACAAAAAACCCTGACTGTTATAAACCATAAGTATATGCAATTCATTTTTATTACTTTTAGTGTATTGTGGACATGTTTAGGTGTGTAGACATATGTAGATGAAAGAAGAAAGGAAGGAAGGGAGGGAGGGAGGGGAGAAGGAAGAAAGGAAGAAAGGAAAGGAGGAGGCCTGGTACAGGTTTGCTTGGCTTTTGAAGCTGGGATTAAACTGAGACTATCAATCAAACTGGAAACAACACCTTAACAACATTGAGTCTTTAGATACATGAACACAATGTGTCTTTCCATTGGTTTACATCTTTGGATTTTTTTCTTTTGTACTTTTCCACATACATACCACATGTACATATGACTTTTTATATTTATACACAAATAATTGATTTTTAGTGCCAGTATACTGCTATTTTATTAATTTGACATTCCAATTCTTCATTACAGGATTATAGCAATACAAATATACAAATGATGCTTGCCTATAGCTTTTACATCCCATGGCCTTAGTAAGTTTATTAGTTGTAGGAACTTTCTAAATGTATTATTTTAGAACTCTACACAGGGAATGAGGTTGTATGTGAATTAGACAGTTTGCTTTCTTCTCTTCAGAGCCCACTAGTCTGTTTGCTTTTCAGTTCTTTTTATTTATCAAATATGTTGTACAGAATTTCCAGTGTGCTGCTAATGGGAGTGGTGAAGAGGGACCCTTTTGCTTATTCCTCAGTTGCAGGCCATCATTCATCTTCTCACTATGGGGAAATAATGTTGTTGTCTGGGAGTGTTTTGAAGTTCTTTATCTTCTACTCCTAGTTCATTAATGGCTTTTCATCACAGGAGCTGGGGAGATAGCTTAGTCATTAGGGTGCTTGCTGCACAAGCATGAGGATCTGAGTTCAGACCTCAGACCTTTGTAAAGAGCCAGGTATATCAATGCATGCTTTTATCCTGGCGTTTAGGAGAGGCACTGACGGGGAGGGTCAGGCTGGCCTCACACTTGTGATCCTCTTTCCTCCATCTCCTGAATGCTGGGACTAGAGCATGCACTGCCACACCCAACCATGATCAAGTTTGTATTATTACAATAACAAACTACCACACACTTAGTGGCTTAAAAGAACACAGATCATTTTTCTGTTGTTTCTCGTTTGTTTTATAGATTAGAAGTTCTTTATGGGTCTCATATGGCTTAAATCAAGGTGTCAACCAAGTTCCACAAAATTCCAGTCACATTGTTAAATTCCCTGTGATTTGGGGAACTTCTGTAAGTGAGGGCCTTTCCCATCTTTTAGTGATCATCTGCATTCCTTGGTTCAGAGGCTCTTTCCTCTATCTTCAAAGCTTGTAGTTGATCGTTGCGTCCCTGTCACACTTCAAAACATCTCATCTCTCTCTTCTCCATTGGTAAAATCTTTCTGGTCACATCTAAGAAAGCCTTCTTTAAGTAGTTGCCTGACCAGATGAGAGTCTTCTAGAAAATCAGCATAATCTCCTCCCCTAAAGGTCCATAACCTCAGAGAGGCCTTTTACCATTCCAGGTAACATATTAATAAATTCCAGGAATTAGGGCATGCACACCTTTGGAAAGTCATCATTCTGCCTACCATGCATCATGAAAAGGGGTAATATTCTTTTTCCACTTTTAATTCTCTTTTTATGATCTTTTTATTTAAGTTAAAAATAAGCTTGTTTTCCATGTCAATCCCAGTTCCTTCTCCTCCTCCCCTGCCCACACTGGCCCCCTATCTCATCCCCTTTCTGCTCCCCAGGGAGGGTGAGGCCTTCCATGGGGGATCTTCAAAGTCTGTCATATCATTTGGAGCGGGGCCTAGACCCTCCCTGTGTGTCTAGGCTGAGAGAGTGTCCCTTTATGTGGAATGGGCTCCCAAAGTCCATTCGTCTAGTAGGAATAAATACTGATCCACTACCAGAGTCCCCATGGATTGCCCAGATCTCCAAACTGGCATCCATGTTCAGGGGGTCTGGAACAGTCCTATGATGGTTTCCCATCAAAAAGGGGTAAGGTTCTTTGAAGAGAAATACCAATCTTAGATGTACATGTTTTTAACAACAGAGTTTCAAAATTCATGATATAAAACCTAACAGATCTGAAAAGAAAAATAAAGCAACAACTACAGTTGAAGACTTCATCATGCCTTAGTCAGTAACTGAGGATGAACAGGTAGGAAATCCATAAGAACAGAGACAATTTAACCACTATACTCAACTGGATCCAATGACATTTTTTGTTTTGTTTTATTAAGACAGGGCTTCTCTGTGTAGCCCTGGTTGTCCTGGAACTCACTCTGTAGACCAGACTAACCTCAAACTCAGAAATCTACCTGCCTCTGCTTCCTGAGTGCTGGGATTAAAGGCATGTGCTGCTACCAACCGGTTCTAATGACATTTATATAGCATTCTACCCAATAGTTACAGAAGACACATTCTCTTTCTATTTTGTTTTGGTTTCAGTTTTTGTTTCATTTCAGGAATCGAATCCAGGGCTTTGCACATGGTAAACAATCACTCTACCTCAGAGATACTACTTTTCATTGATTTTTTTAAAATTTGGGGGCCTAGAGAGATGGCTCAGTGGTTAAGAGCACTGGCTGCTCTTCTACAGGACCTGGGTTCAATTCCAAGCACCCACATGGCAGC